GAAGGTCGCAAAGACGAATGGCATAAAGCCGTCACGAAGATATGATTTAGGTTTTACCCTAATACATAAATACATACTAATATAATCTAGTAAATCCCTTCAATCAAGGGATTGTATCTAATCTACATATTAACTAATCCTCTATATAAGGAATGGACCAGATAATATCTTCTCTAGATTCAGATATCAACACCGACACATTAGAAGTTGATCAGAGCATCAACTTCAGAGAGTCACATTGATCAGGGCATCAATGTTTGCGTCTGGAGATCAGCTTCAGCTTCAGCAGATAGTACCATCAATGTATCACATGATCAATATGTCATCAGTGTATAACCATCAGTGTCTGGGCACACTAATCAGTCTTCAGTAGGTGGTGTGGTCACGCCTTTGATGCTGATAGAGTCTTCAGGGTCTCTTAGTCATCAGGAGAGATGTTTTTCAGTCTTCGACATTTGAACCTCTATTAGCGTATCTGCAGATTAACTATAAATAGAATGTATATATGTTGCATCAGCAAATCTATATACAAATGTGTGACCCAATAGAATGCCTACCTTCTTTTCAGCCGCCATGTCTCTTGGTAGTGTTGCTTATCCTTCCAGTGCTGCTACACATCCTTGTTGAACTAGAAGAGCTTTTATATTCACCTTCCACAATGTGAAGTTATTTGAACCATTGAATTTCTCCACATATACTTGTGAGTAGACATTTTCAATCACAGAAATACAAACCACATCTTTGATACCACTTGTTATGAAGTAAAGTGGATAAATAGCTAAACTATAAGCACACAAGACACATTATTTACGTGGTTCAGTCAAGGTCACCTACGTCCACGAGCAGGAGGGGAGTATTCTTTATTTCAGAGCTCTCAAACAGAGGTTACAAGTACAATTTTCATAGAGATACGCCTACACTCTAGAATTGAAGATACAAAATGACCTAGCATGCATCCCTATTTATACTTGAGGGATCAAACCTAAAACCATAATGGGCCAAACCCATTGGCCCATAGACCCATGAAAGGTGCCAATCAATCACAATTCTCAATGAAACATCTTCTGGAACATTCTTCCATGTCATACAAATCATTAGTATCAACAACACATATGATGGACCACCTTGACCATAGTGGAGCATCATGATGCACATGTGGCGCATCATGCACACTAATGGCCCAACATCCATTATGGTGGCACAACATGGTGTATTTCTTGAGTATGATCATCTTCTAGTAAAACATGGATCAAAATGGCATAACAAAGGAATCGGGATGGCACATCATATACCAAGATGGTCCATGATGGCGCAACATCACCTCCATGGCACAACATCGCATGAGGATGGCATAATTTCTCCTCAAGATGGCGTAACTTCTCCTCCTTGGTGCAACTCCACTCCTTGATGGCGCAACAACTCCTTCATGGCGCAACATCCATTCCTTTAGCGCAACTCCTTTCCTCTTGGCTCAACAACTTCATGAATGGCGCAAGATATGACCCTATTGTACAACATCCTCTATGCTTGGCGCAACATCCATCTTTATGTAGCAACATGGTTCTTCATGTTGCTCCAAGTTGCTCCAAGTTGCTCCAAACCACTCCAAGTTGCTCCAAACCACTCCAAGTTGCTCCAAGCCACTCCAAGTTGCTCCAAACCACCTTTTGGAAGATACATTACTTTTTCACTTGTTTCTTTCCTTTGTATGATGATTCATTCCTTTCTCAGAAGATTCGTTCCTTTGTCATATGCTCCATGAACCCCATGTGCTCCAATGTGATCTAAGTGCTCCAAATGCTCCATGAGCATGATCCAAATGCTCACGTCACATTTAACAAAACTTTTAAAATAAATATAATTAAATAAAATATGTTTCTTTATGTATTGTCTTTAACCAGTTTTAAAGATCAATATCTTCTTGTCTGTGTTCGCACATACGTAACTACAATGTTTCTTTTCTTGTGTTGATAGATCTTTGGCGTTTATATACTACTAATTTTAGAATAAATACTAAATATAAAATCTATAAATTCAAATCTTACACTTATACATCGTCTATTAAATTTAGATAGACCAAACTACAAAAATGGTCCTTCTAGTACGCATTTTTTCAGAAAAAATGTCAAACCATTCAACTTTTGGATTGGTGGTCATATTCAACAAACTATTATATCCTTCTTATTATTTTTAAGAATTTTTTTTTAAATATCATTTAAATATTTAATAAATATTAAAAGTAAATCGACCCACACATCTCTCTCTCTCTCTTCTCTCTCTCTCTCTCTCTCTCTTACCACCATTTGAAGAAAATTCACATGTTCTTGTTCTTATTCTTATTCAAAGAAGCCCATAAAATCATCAACTAATCATAAGAACACATTCTTTACCGTTTGAAGATCATCAAAATTGATTAAATGCACAAGCCGATAAACTTATTTGCTCAAATCTAATAAAAAAACACAAACCAAAAAAGAAGTATTGCATTTGGGTTTAAAGTCATCCCACTGGAAACTTGCATCTGGACCTAAAGCTGTTGTCAGAGTTTGAATGGAGATTGCATCTTCTAAATCGTCACTATTAGAAACATGCATCTGTGTCTAAAGTAATCGCCAGAGTTTTGCATTAGGTCTAGTTTGGGAATTCATATCAAAATTCAGAATGTCTAGACGACAACATATCAACTCGACACCACCTAACCCGTTCAAGAAACATATCATTCTTTCAATCTCTTGATAGAATTTCAAATGATTGCATTTAGGTCGGTAGAAGTATGAGGCATCCAAGATGGGTACCCTTAATCATATCTTTCACTTTAACATCATGGGAGAATTCTAGAGTTGTTGAGACCAAGATCGGTAATGGTGATGTCGCTTTCCAGCGAGAGAGAGAGAGAGAGAGAGGGGCGACGAGAGGTGCGTGATCTAGGTTGCTGAGACCAAGAAATCAGAAACTAGGGAGGAAATGAACACCTTTTTAGTCGGGGTTGGGTGGATTACAGAACGTCAAAAAGATGATTAAACATTTTCTCACCATTCATTACCTTCATCACCTTCACCAGAGATTGTTGGGTCGGTTGTCTTCTCCGATGGATGCAGAGGGGAAGTCTGCATCAAAATTTCTTCATCCCGAGAAATGTGTGTGACTATGTGTGTGTGTGTTGGGGGGGGGGGGGGAGGTTGGTCTTTGGATCATGATTCATTTTGTTAGAGAGAGAGAGAGAGAGAGAGAGAGAGAGAGAGAGAGAAGAGAGAGAGAGAGAGAAGAGAGAGAGAGGAGAGAGAGAGAGGAGAGAGAGAGAGAGAGAGAGAGAGAGAGAGAGAGACGTGTGTTCACTACCTTTTAAATTTTATATTTATTAAATATGTAAATAAAGATATTTTAAAAAATTTTAAAAATAATAAGAAGGGTATAATAGTTTTTAAATTTGGACAATGACTAAAACCGCAAACAAACTTGCAAAAAATGACCAGCTATCCAAAAGTTTAGAGGTTTTGATATTTTTCCTTCGAAAAATACATACCACTATTTTTGCAGTTTTATCATTTAAATAATATAAATTTGATTTCCTAGATCCACAAAAATAGTCATAAAGAAAGTGATATGGAAAACAGCACGTAAAAGAACGTATTCTATTCTTTTGTTCATTTTTATTTTAGAAAAACTATTTTTAAAATCAATATTTAATGTTTATAGATCTATAATTATAATTGAATATAAAACTTGATTACCGAACAAATTAAAAACCAGTTACCCATAAGTCATTTTGTATTTTAAGTGATCATATTCCTTATTTTTTACAAACTAAAAATATAGGGTCTTAGAAAGTGCATCTTAATTGGATGTTTTCTATAAAAAAAAAAATTAAAATATTAAAAATTTATGTTCATATTACCCAAATAATATCGATGCATAGTTTTCTTCACCAAACTGTATGGTACTTTTTTAAAATTTATGCAAAACACATTAAATGTTGATTTTTTCAATGGCTCGTTTTGGTTTACATAATTGGATTTGGATGGAAATGGAACTTGATAAGCGTTTTTGATACCAATTTTTGCCCGCACCATTAACATATGAAACCCTTTTCTGCATTATACAGGCATTATTTAATTGTTGATTGATCATTTGATGTTACCATAAACCACATATATTTTGCTTGGTGTAAAGTGATTGTTTTACTTTGTAAAAGAAAACATTGTTTAGAATGTCACTTAAACGATGTCAATCATTCATTTGTCATACACACATATGTTCTTGCTTTTAGGTTCTAATGGAAATCAAATAGTCCCAACGTGCATAAGATATTTTGCTCTAATAATTCTATATGTTGGAATTTTATATGTATTTAATGAGTTAATTGTAGATTATATGTATACAGCAAAATCTTAGTCAATTGAGAAGATGTCGGAAACATCTGTTATTTTCTAGTTAAAATTTTCTTAACCTTGTTTCTACGTAGAAGGGTGAAAACATGTCGAAAGCACATTCAAGTGGTGGCACAGACGAGTTATCCATCACGATGGAAGCATCAGAAAACCAGCAACTCAAAGTTAGTTCGATGTTTCATGCTTATTACCCTCCTGGTTTTATCCGAAAGGTAATATACCAATTCCATCATTGTGGATTGGTACTACCATGATCCAAGTTTCATGCCCCCTCTTCTTGTTTTTGTAGTTAAAAAACCAAAAATTAATACAATCCTCCCCGAGAAAAATTGTAATTGATTCGTAGAGTTTATATATGGGTTTGCATAATTCAGCTAAGTTCAGTTTTTAACTAAAACTAAAACCGAGGAAAAAGAAATTAGTTTTTTACTTTTGAAAAGAAAAATTATAATCTTCAGGTGTAGTCCTTGTTTTTTTTGGTATTTCCGTTTTTCTTTGAAGTTTTTGGGTTTTTTAGAACCATGTTGATGAAATTTAAAAAAAAAAGATAAATACTTAACTCAAAAATGTACTAAAATATAATGGAAGACGGATGTAAAGACAAGTTTATTATTGTAATGTTTAGTAGAAACTGTAACTTATTTTTATTATTTTAATATTAAAATTCTGAATAATACTTACACTCACAAAAACTGATGAACCATATCATCTGAGCAGCTTACGTCAATCCATCCAACGCTCACGTGGGATGCCAATCACAGAATACCAACATCGCATATATATAGTAACTTGCCTAACTAAAAAAATCACAGAACACTAACGATATTTTGAGTGTGCCAAAGTTTGAGTGATATACCTCATCTGTGGAATTACAAATAATATAAAACAAGGTCATTCAAGGCTATTTCAGTTCGATGTTTCCCATTTTAACATTAAAAGAATGACCCAACCCTAAAAATTTAGTTTTTTAAAAAATACACCACCAGTTTTTCAAAATATATCAACCTTCTAGGGTTTTTCATCCGGTATTAATTTTTTATAACATATGTTACTTGTGGTGGTCTCACTATGGTTTTCTAGGTGGTGGCGGAGGTGGTGGCTACCTTCTTATTGGTGTTTGTTACATGTGGAGCGGCGGCACTTAGTGGAACCCATGAACATAAGGTGTCTCATCTTGGTGCTTCCCTTGCCGGTGGCCTCATTGTGACTGTTATGATTTATGCCGTTGGGCATATTTCTGGTGCACATATGAACCCCGCAGTCACTATTGCTTTTGCAACCGTTAGACAATTCCCTTGGAATCAGGTACCTACCCTATATACATAATTATATGCAACATTATTGCAAAGTTATGATAGATATATCAAGATTATTTGATAAAGATGTAGGCACATGGCATGAAAAAGCGAGGTGCCTGATGTCCTAATTTGGGCGATGAGGGCCTAGTAGCATGGTTGCCATTTATGGGAATAAAATATTTTAAAGACTTCTATATTCAATTATGTTACAATTTACATTAGCTTGTCTAATTATTTTGTATAAGGGCAATGTTATATACTATTCTAAACATGGATGTTATTGTTTTTGTCAATAATTATTTTAAATAAACTAGATGTATGCCCGCGCAAAGCCGCGGTAAATACCTCTTTTGACGAATTGTTTTACCGTTAAAATAATTATTAGATTTTTTTATTAGTTATTACCTAATAAAAAATTACTATTTTTAAATAAAATATTAATGTTTAGACTTTATATTTATATTTTCTGTTTGTATGTCTAGTAAATAAATGTAATTTAATTTATATAAATGGATTTAATATTTTAAAATTGTAAATTTGCTCAAATTAAATTTCTTAATAACCTTCCTTAATTTAAATTTCGAAACTTTTGAATAATAATAATGATTTATTTATGCATAATTTATTTGTATAAAAAGCTTTGTATTTTAAGAAAATTTCTTAATGTTCAAGATATGACTAATATGTTTAGTATAAGATATTTTAATTATTTATAATTATAAGAGGTGAATCACAAATATCTTTACAATTACCTACGATTATTGTGTCTATGTAGGTTCCTTTTTATGCAGGAGCACAACTGATAGGATCAATATCGGCTTCATTTTCCTTAAAGGTAATATTCCAGCCAATAAAGTATTTGGGTACAACAACACCTTCAGGGACAGATTTACAAGCTCTAATCATGGAAATCATTGTAACTTTCACAATGATGTTTGTTACTTCAGCCGTAGCCACTGATTCTAAAGCCGTAAGAACATTATAAAAAGTAGAATTCTTTTTAAGAAAAAGTTAATAGTTTGTCAAGTAAACAAGTACTTTGTTCTAAAAATATTTGCAGGTAGGAGAGTTAGCAGGTATAGCAGTAGGATCATCAGTATGCATTACTTCTATCTTAGCAGGGTAAATGTGAACATTCTAAAGGGTTCTTATTATGACTTAATATTGTTTTCATAGCTTAATATAAATTGGTAAATCTTTGTTTTCAGACCAGTATCAGGAGGATCAATGAACCCTGTACGCACTATTGGACCAGCAATAGCTAGTAATGTTTATAAGAGTATTTGGGTGTATATTGTTGGCCCTATAACAGGGACGTTATCAGCGGTGATGTGTTACAGTTTTATTCGAGAAACCAATGAACCAGTTCAGGCAATCTCTTCGTTTAAATTTCTTAGAATGAGAAGCCACATGCATGATGAACATGTCGATGTAAAGGATCCTATAGGTTATTTGAAATAGTCGATAGACTAGCATTAGCTGCATGTATTGACGAAAATGTTTCATATAAGTGAAGGGTGCTTGAACGTATATTAGAAATTTCATAATGCTTACTACTTGCATTATGAAATTTCATATAAGTGAAGGATGCTTGAATGTATATTAGAAAATCGTCTTGGTTTTCTATTGAGCAAACAACTTAATCATACATCATGTCTCATGAGATCATAACAAGACATATTACCTTTATTCCTTGGCCGATTGATGACCTCAAAATAATCTTGGCGAAGTCTGATTAACTATGTCTAAACTGTTTAGTAAAACCCAATTCCAGACATGTAAAACTAAATCTGGAGATAAAGGAAGCAAATCTAAATTGATAATTTTTAAAATCTTGCTAGGAGATTGAAGAACATAACTGTGATGATACGTAAACAACATCTAATAACAATACCAAAGAAGATTACTTCCCTATTTGTCTTGGATCAGAAATTTGAAATCACCCCAGTGAAACAGATTGGTATTGGATAGTGAATTGCAACAGATAGTAAAGTTTGGGGTCAGACTGTTTTAATTTGATTGACTGTCGGTTGGGCATAGACCTGACATTGTGTTATAGAGTTTAATAAAGGTGAAAACAACAGGAATGTAAATAAGTGTAGAAACGAAACGAATGGTTGTTTCTAAAGATCTCAAACGAGGATTTTGGTTGTAGAGGATGGATTTCTCTCCCACCCCCTAACACACACACTTTTGGGAGTACAATTAGGAGGGATATTTAACAAAAATCTTTCTTTCTCTTCTTTGCACTTATTTCCAACAATGAGTTTATGGAACTCAGTTCTTTTCATCTCTCTCCTTAAAAATTACATGAAAACATATAGCTAAAGGATGATCGGGATTCCTTATATAAAAAGAACTAGGTTATAACTGGTTAGGTTATAATTGGTTGAAAGCAAGGATGATAACAAATCTATTTATATAAGAGGATAAAGAATTATTTAATTATACAATTGGTAAACAAAATATATAATTATGCGTTAACAAACAAATTATCAAATATAAAATAGATTGTATCTCTAAAAGTAAATTACGTAATGTATTTCTGACTTTTAGGATAATTTTCTTTTTAGAAACAAGATTTTTAGGATAAATTAAAAATCTGAAATAATTCAAATCATAGTCTTTATTAGATAAGAAAGATTCAAAATTATAGGATTTATCTTTACAATTTGAATAGGATTTCAAATCTTGAAGCAATAATATGGGATTGCATTTAATCTTAGCACAAAATAAAATAAGAAGTCTTATATAGATGACATATATCAAAAACTCTAGAAAAGTAGAAAAGAGGAATGTGACATGATTAGCTTTTGTTTATTAAAATAGATAGAAGATAAATATGTTTTTTTTTGAAAAAATATATATTAGCATATGTATTTTTATGAATCCTGATTTTGTTTTTAGAATAATTTAGGCTATGTTAGTGAGAATAAAATTTAAAATAGAGTGAAACAAATTGAAAATATATATATATATATATATATATATATATATATATATATATATATATATATATATATATATATATATATATATAATGAATTGAAATTAAGCAAGGTAAGTAGATGAAATAACTAAATGAATCAATCAAACAAGTTTATAATTATTAATTAAAGGAATAGTTTGCTACAAATTATAAATAATAATTACGAATTTTGAGTTGAATCATTGGCTCGTGGAAAAAAGACAATGGGATAGGAACTTTGTTCCTTTCGAAAGACTTGTTTCAGTGGATGTTGAAGGTGTTGCTATTCGTGCATGGAGTAAAGATGCGCTTAGAAAGATTATTGCAAAAAGGGTGTCCATTGCTCATCTTGATGATGATCTTGGTGAAGATGTCTATAAAAATCGTCTTTGTATTTTAATTTTTTTTCCAAGGGATCATTCCGGAGGAGGTCTTGATACGGGTTGATGATGTTGTTTTTACCGTTCGGATTAAAGAAGCACCGGGTTGGTTACCATCTTTTTCTTCCGATTTCCCAAAAACAACTTATGAAAATCGTGATGCTCAAGGTCCGTTTAGAGAACATGCAAAAGGATGAAGAAAGGAACATAAACGAATTTAGGTCATATGGGGGCAAATCCGGTAAAGAAAATATTGATCGTCTTGTTGATTTACAAGGGCAAATGAGGAGTGATTGTGGGCAATTTTTTTTAATAATGAACCGGTTCTGGAGGATATTGACAATGAGTCCTCTTCCATACGTCATTCTAAGGGTGCCCGCCTTTCACCGATGAAAAATCACATCGAGACTGCCACAAGGACTTCCCAAAGCTGGTGACAGCCTCTGTTAATGATGTTGTCACAAGTGTCTCAGAAACACCGAGGACAGCCCCTTATTTTCATGTCGTTGTTGCTTTTGTTCCGATTCTGACTACTGGGGAGGCTGTTGGTTAGCTTGCAACTGATGGGGAGGCTATCGTAGCTAGTCGTGACCTGGATGCTCCTTCTGTTCCTTTGGTTTCTTCGAATCCAGTTGCCACTAAGTCGTTTTTCATGTTCGTGACCCTCCGACAGGATTTTCAGGAGGGTTTGGAAGGATGTCGGGGGTAGCTATCTCGGAGGAGTCTCTTTCTCACCCTCCGAGTTTTTCAAATTATGTTGCACATTAAGACCTTTCTGAAGGTTCAGTCAATATTCTTTCAAAAGACATTAGACATTGGTAGATCGTTGGGTTATAATATAGATGATTGTTTCGAGCGGGTGAAAGAAATTTTCAAAGGTCATGGGAATTGACAAGTTGTCCCATGAATTGTATTTCCATTAATATTCAAGGAGAAGGCTCTAGGGATAATCGAGTGTGAATTCTATCCCATTGTTATAAATATAAGGTAAATTTTTTTGAGATTCAAGAATCGAAAATGGAAAGTGTTGACTTGTTTGTGGCTCATTCGTTTTGGGCTAATAATTCTTTTTCTCACGCGGTCTTGCCTTCTCGTGGAGCTTCGGGTGGTATTATTGCTATTTGGGATCCGGATTTGAATCTCATTCAAAGGTGGTTATTTTGGACTATGTTTGTGCGGTTGAGGAGGGTTGGAAGCGGTCAGGGTAAAAGGTTCTTTTGTATTGTTGTGTACACCCTTCAAGAGGTTGGAAAGAAGAGATCTCTTTGATTGCAAATCCTACAGACGATTATTTCATTTTATGGAGAATGTATCATTATGGGAGATTTCAATGTTGTTCGGGATGAGTCGGAGAGATTGGGGTCGCAATTTAATTTGGCGACCGCTGCTTTGTTTAATCACTTTATTGAGCAAGCAGACCTTCTTAATATTCCTTTGGGATGGGCTAGATTCACTTGGAGTGATAAATGGCGGTCAAAATTTAGTAAATCGGATATATTTTTGGTGTCAGATGGTATTTTGGGTCATTTTGCTCATCTTATAGGCTTGGTGTTGGAGATGAAAATTCTTGATCATCGGCCTATTCTTCTTTTGGATCGTAAAGTTGACTACGGTCCCTTTCCTTTCTGATTTTTTCATTATTGGTTAGATATGGATGGGTTTGATGAAGTGGTCAGGAATTCTTGGGGTCAAATATTTGATTCCAACGACCCGTGGGTTATTTATAAGAAAAAATGCACTTTATTAAATCTAACATTAGGGCTTGGAATTCCTCTTCTCGTGATCGACTGGGCTTTAAAAGGGATTTATAGAATTTACTTGATTTCATTGATACTCGTTTCATGGATGATGATGGGTCTGCTTCCTTTCGGGAACAAAGGGTTTCGGTTCAGGAGGATTTAAATGAGTTAGATCATCTTTCTTATATTGATCAAGCTCAGAAGGCGAAGATTCAGTGGTGTGTTGAGGGGGACGAGAATTCAGGGTTCTTTCTGATGGGTTTTGAGCAATAAATCAATCCTATGGTGCACATGCAAACCCTAAAGTTTTGGATCTAGGTTTCTCTAATTGTACATGCAAATTATCCAAAGCTTATAAACCCTAATTCTAGCATTCAAAAATCGAAAATCATAACTATACCAAGGTTTGGAAATTACCTTTCAATTGTAGCTTGAAGATCTTGAGCTTTGAGAACCTAGCACCTCAAATGCGATGCCTCTAATGAATCACAAACACCAAAGCAAGTTCGATGATCTTCGAGAGAGGGGAAGGAGGCTCAAAATATGCTCTTGGATCTCTAGGGTTCAAGTGGTAGCCGATTTGTGAAGCCATATGGTCCTTATATAGGTGAGCTGCTAGGGTTTCAGTCAAAACCCTAATTAGATTGCTTAGGCCTTAAGCAGTCCACATGAACCTTCTAGAAACAAGGCTTGGACGGATTCAATGTGGGCTTCCTCCTTGATTTCGCCCACCCCTTTCTAAGGGATTCACAACCCAAAATCCAATTATCTTATAATTGCAATTCCAGTCCCCTAGGTTCAATTAATATCTTTTTGACCATAAAATTAATTCACAATTAATTCTTGACCAATATTAATTAACCAATATGATTTCTCTTTTAATATATTATTCATATAATATATTAATAAACCATAATAACCTTTTTCTCCATTATTCATCTATTCAAGTTGCTCTGGTGAAGGCAACCCAAAAGGACCATGCTACAATCGGTTCAAGTACATATCAAATATAGTTATGGGCTTAGACATCTAATCTAACAATCTCTCAGTTGGATAAGTCTAATAACTATAGATGCAAGTACGACTTCAAAATCCGATTAGCAATCGTAGCTCTTAAAAGTCGTTGTCGAACTCCGACACGTCCTTTAGATAAGGGATCGTATAGTCCTCCGTTCTCAAGATATCGTGTGGACAATCACATTGAACATAGTCATACTTATTGTCCAGCAGTTTGTTTCTCGATCGCTGATTCGTCTGACATAGAACTTAATTGAACACATCAATTCAGTCCTGACCGGGCCCGACACATAAGTCAACCAAATCATTGAGGGGCCCAAGATATCGCTTTTACCCTCGTAGGACAAAAGGAACAGA